TTAATTGTCTTGACTTTGAGAAAAAAGAATGAGTTTCTTAATCACTAACGAGCATTAAGTAGTGAAGATAGGAAAGGACAGATTTTTCTAGGACTGCCAAAGGGCTTTATGAATAAGGAGAACAATTCATCTCACTTTCATGCAGGAAAACACAACACTGCAGACACTGGAACAAATGACGGATTGACAGCTGTCTGAAAACACGGTGGAGGCCAGGTGGGAAACCTGGCCGAGTCTGTTAGAAGCCAGACACATCTTGTCAAGTTCTGCTTTCCCAAACACCCTGTACTTCAAGACATGTTTGAAATAGCACAACTCCAGTGCCCACAGTTCAGTCTTTCATCATTTGGCAACTTACTAACCTTAAAAAGACAAACAGAAAAAATTGTACTTAGAATAGATACCCTGAGAAACATATTCTTCTATTATGTGATAGGATAAACTTTGAAAGCAGGACAAAGAGGGACAGCAAAAGTTTGCCTGCTCACCACTAACATTCTCAAAACAAGTCCAAGCAAATTCGGGAACAGTTGATTTCTCTGCCTTACCTCAACATTCAGAGCTGTATTTCTCTAAATAATTTCTGCCTTGAGAACTGAAGATATGGAAAATGATTCCATACTTGTAGGTGCTTTAACACAGAATTTTTTTAAAGCCTGCAGACGTTCTCGATGCAAAGATCATGAGTTGTCACACCAGGAGTGTTTTCTTCTGAGTTAAACATCACTCTTTCAATGGATCTGATTTAAAAATACTAATATTCCTGAAGACATGCAATGAATACCTTAGGAGAGATTTATTCTGTCTTTTCTGTTCTAAGAACTTTGCATGTCTTTTTTAATTCCACCTTTACAACAACCTTGTGGAGGATCATGTTTTCTCCATTCTGTACAGGAGGGTATTTAGGTGAAGAAAGATTTGCTAACTTTCCCAGGATGGTCCAGCCCATTAGTGTTGGAGGGAACAGTCAAATCTGAGTCTGTTAAGAAATTATACCTTTTTCTCAATATTCAGCTCCCATGAGGATCCTAAGTGCTTAATAACTCAGGAAAGGTAAGGAAGAAAATCCAGCAGGAAGGTAACAAAGTCAACTTTGCCTACAGTCATTTTTCAGAAGAGCTGCCCAGCTCCTTGATGTGATTATTCCTGAGAAGGGAACAACTTCAGTGAAGAATTTCAGAGGAACTTTGTGGTATGACATGACAGTTCATGCTCAAGTCTCAGAGCACAAGAAAGTTAGCTGAAGAAATGCATTCGCTTTATTCTGTGTAAATGTTCCAAACGATGGCAAAATGGGATACTTCAAAAGGTGCCTTTCACATTTCTAGGAGCAAGAATTTTTGCAACTGTATACATTTACAAATGTACCCAACATTTATTGTATACATGCTCTTTTTCAAGCACTGCTAGAAGCCATGAGCAATTCAAAGATGAATAAGATATGAATCCATTCCTTAAGAATAGAAGAAATTATAAATTCAGTGGAAAATCTTCTTGCAAAAACAAAAAAAAAGAAAATCTTCTTGTAAAAGACACACATGCATAATTACAATTTGAAGTATAAAATGAATTACCACCATAAGAAAATAGTGCATCAAATGTTATATATTTCATCCCTGGCTGGTGTGGCTCAGTGGATTGAGCACTGGCCTGCCAACCAAAGGGCTGCCGGTTCAATTCCCAGTCAGGGCACCTGCCTGGGTTGCAGGCCAGGTCCCCAGTAGGGGCCGCATGAGTGGCAACAACACATTGATGTTTCTCTTCCTCTCCTTCTCCCTCCCTTCCCTTCTGTCTAAAAATAAATTAATTAAATCTAAAAAAAGGTTATATAGTTCAGAGAATGAAAATATTATATCATATTTAATATATCATATATATCACATATCATATCATACATACTATATTATATGTAGTTCAGAGAATGAAAATATTCATATTATATAATCATGTTTACAGTGATTAGAGATGGCTTCATGGAGGAGATGGCACTTAACCATGGGTTTGAAATGTAGGTAAAACATTGATGAGGTACAATGAAGCACTCTAAGGGAAAATTTTATAAGTAATGCCACAGAGGCAAAAAAAATTATATCATCAAGTAATTAATTATTTTGTTCTCTGTCTGAATTGTTTCTAAGGTCTAGAGTCAATGACCACTAGTTTTAACTCAGGAATGCCCTCTTAAGTGTTCTCTTTCTCTCGGAAAAAAAAAACATTAAAAATATGAGTACATTTTAGGCATAAGTAGTTAAAGATGTCAGATAGCATGACACACACACACACAGACACAAGCAAGAGGCAAACACAATAAGGACTGTATTCAGTGAATGCAGGACAGGTGTTACATTACAATCAGAATAGGTAAAAATAAGACGTGTATGAATAAAAAATAAACTTGAACTCAATGAAACTGAAATAAAATACCAATGAGCTATAAGCCACCTCACCCTACAGAAACCCAGAAAAACTCAGAATAGTAGACAACAGATTAAAAAATTGGAATAAGATGTGGCGTATAAATCGGGGAGACTGGTTGAAACTCTGTTTCTGTGCTGGGTCCACATCCCAATCCCACCCAGCCCATCAACTTCTTCAACCATGGAAGCAGTTAGGAAAATCTTCTTTGGGGAAAATCTATAGACCAAGAATAAGAACTTCCAGATATTAATATTGTATAGAGGTTACCTGGCAGTACAGCCTACCACAAATGAGCATAAAATTTTTTGGCAATCTTAGGAAAATCCATTATTTTAAAATAAATTTTTTAGTGCTGAATAATAAATAGAAATTGACATAAAAGTATCATCTAAAATAACAGATATGAAACAAGAAACCCCATACCGGGGTGGGCAAAAGTAGGTTTACAGTTGTTCATATAGAAAAGGACGTGCAGGCTATGATTATTATGGTGGCTTTGTCACCTCAAAATATGTCATGATGTCACAGTGCACTTAGGTATAATCTCGTAGGTGCTCAAAATGCCAGCCTTCATTATTTATACATTCTTATAGTCTACTTTCCACACTGAAGAACACTTCAGCACAGTTCTTTAACCTACTTTTGCCCACCCCGTATAAGGAAAGAAAAACAAGAAACACTCAAAATAAAATATAATTAACATTCCCAGAGGCATAAAGAAACATACTATCTCCATGAAAGCAGAATAGATAGTATAATGGAAGGAGAAAAAAAGGAGAAGGAGGAAGAGAAAGAAGAGCCCTAGAATAAGAAAGGCTCTTAGACATTAATAATATAATTAATTAAAAATTAAAACTGAAATAGAAGAATTGAAAGATAGAGTTTGACAATCTATAAGAAAATAGAACAATAGCACAAAAATGTACAGGAAGAATTGCTACCTAGCCACTGAGAACAACAGTTTCTGGTTTGGAAAAACTGAATGGGGGGTTCTTAATTTCTAAAATTTAGGACACATTTCAAATGTTACTTTGTTTTGTTCAAGCTCATTCTTGTGTTCTTGAGTTAAAAATCACCTACTAGCATTAGGGAAGACAAAATTTGATTGAATGCTAAGTAAATACATACAATTGAACATCATGTGAAATTAAAAACTTATCCAGAAAATAAAATGAGCAGTTATAACATTAGACTCTGAACACTGAGATTTTTGTATTTTTTTCTTTTTAAATTGTTTAGTAAAATAAGGAGTAAAAATGGTTTCCTAGTAAGGGCATGCTCAAAGATTGAGGTCCAAGGACAGTTCTCTCAACATGTTTTACAACAGTTATAGATCAAAACTACCAAGGAGGCTGTCACTGGACTATGGGTTGAATAATGAGATGTATTTTTGTAACAAAATACACCCACCTGATACCCGCAAACATTACTGGCAGTAGAACAAAAAGATAGTTAAAGAATTTTAAAGGAAAATAAGTGATCCTTTATTTATTTCACTTGTTTTGTTTATACATTATTACATTTTGCTGTAGTTATACTCCTGCTCTTCCCCTTACTATGTGTTTGAAAGTTACTTAAGTTGTCTAGGTTTCAGTTCATTCTGTAAAATAGGAACACTAATAATATCTATACCACATGGCTATTATACTGGGTAAATAAATTTATATATATATAAATTCATTTTTATAAATTATATTTATATACATTCATTTTTATAAATTTATATTATATAAATTCATGTTTGAGTACTTGCTGACATGTTGTAATCGATATGTATCCATTGCTTATGTTGTTAATATTGGTAGCTATAAAAGAAGAGATATTATTATTAAATATGCTATCAATAACTGTCTTCAAAAATGGGATTCTGGCAGCCTTCATTTCTTTTCTTGAAGAAATTTATAAATGACTTTAAAATTTTCTATAATAAAAATTGTTTTGGTGAGAAAAAATAAATTTTAGCAATAATTTTTAAATCATATATTTAGTAATTCCCTGGAATAGGATAATGCATCTCTGTCTGACAGACGTCCTTGCAAAGAAAAAAGGAAGCTTCTAATTTTTTCGGCTTTAAATACGTAACTTTTCTGCCGTTAGTGTGTTGACAGCGTGACTCCACCCGGGGTCTACTGATAGATTTTTGATGGCCTAAAAACTTTCTTAAAGATTATTTTAATTTGAATTTCTTGCTCTAAAAAATTAACATAAGCATATCTTGATGCTGGGCATGACCACGTAAACCCAAACACTGCCAAATGATTTCAGCACATCATGACTTTGTCTCAGATAGTAAGAAAACCATAGCCTTTTTTTTTTTTGGTCATGAAGGGTGTTTTATTTTTATTAATCATACAGATAACTTTCTACAATATCCCAGGGCAAACTGGAAAATTTAGCCTTTCAAATGGTGGGGAGTCCACTCAGAGACCCACAGGCCAAAGGCAAGAGCGCAGAGTGTCCATGTCCACAGTGTAGTTTGTCACTCCTGTCCACCTGGCAGGTAGCTTTTTCTCCACATCACAACTGGGGGTCCCAAAGAAAATGGGGGTGGGGACTCCTCCAGGTCCTTAGGAAATTTCGCTCTACTCCTCCCACTCTACGGTCTCTTTGGTCAGCAGGGTATTCTCCTGCGTCCCCATCTTCTTCAGCTTGGTCTTGTCAAAGCTGGTGATTTCCCCCATGTCTAGTTTGTCTGCCATTTTCTTAAAACAATTTTTGACCTTGGCTCCCAAGGTGGGGTTCTGGCTCCCACTCGCCGCAACAAGAGACCAACAACAGCCTTAATAAGAAGAATGCCATTTGGCTAAAGCAAGCCCCAGTGACCTGATACCCCACTGCACTGATGAAGGTTTTGCTATCCTGTGCACTGAACAGAGACGAGAGTGGTGCAAGATGAATCACACTGAGCTCAAAAACTCAAAAAACTTGAGTCACAGCAGTCCCATTATGTCTAGTGTCATTTGCCTTTGGCAAATATTGTATACATCGCAACATATTTATATTGTTAATTTAAACTTTACAGTATTTATACTACCACATATTTAATTTTACAAATTTGTTTGGGATCTACAGTGATTTAAGAACCTTAAGCTTTAATTAGTTTATATTTAGTTTTGTTTTTATATGATTAAGGGACATAATAAAAGTAAGCATTGGGTTTTTATGAGAAATATTTTTTCTACAAGGGTTTATGTATTCAAGAATGATAAATAATATACTGTGTAAACTCTGACTAGAATAGAATTTTAATTTAGTATAGTTCAAATATTTTTATATCCTTAATATATTCCTAATTTCAGGCTAGCACTCAGGTAATGCAGAAAGAAAGCATTTACTCTGTGATTTTGGTACTTGATTTGTTTATAATTTTTAAAACATTACCTAGGACAGTATTAAGTGACAGAATAAGATAGAATGTGATTATATACCTGGAGTTATTCAGACAGTAAGTGCCTAGTAGTTTAGCTCAGTGGGAAAGCTCCCAGAGCTGAAACGGAAAGAAAAAGCTGCCAGGGGGAGGTGGGACTTGAACTTCTAGTCACTAGAAGCTGTGAGGGATTCCAGCCAGCGGAGTCATCGGAGGAAGACTAGGAGGTGGAAATGAAGATGTCACATGTTTTCTGGGTTGGGGTGGGGGAGAATACGAACTACGTGCAAGACTTGGGGCAGGAGACAGAGAGCTATTGTAAGTTTTTTATCAGTAGAACAATATAATAAAAGTAATATTTTGAAAAAGGTCCTTCTGGTACAGGCATTGAAGGAGCTCTTAGTATATGCTAAGCACTGTGTTAAGCATAAATTACCTCAATGCAAAATGGACTCAATGGAGGCAAAGAGACCCCAGATGTCACAACGATTCACATTCATGAATCTCAATCAGGTCTGATCATCTGTCCTGCTTTGGTTGCCTCAAACAAACAAACAAAAGGGGAAAATGTAATAACCAAAGTCATTGCTGCCAGCTAAATAATTATTTGGTTGTGTCATTACAACATACCTGGTGCTCTGCACGGCCTAAGGAGAGAAGAATCGCAGAGTCGATGAATATGTAAATATGAGCCTGAGTGCAGGATAAATACCTCAGTAAGGGCAAAACAAATACAGGCAGAACAGAATGTGTAAGCACCTGTGTGAGTGTGTGCCTGTGTTCATATGTGCATGCATGTGAGTGAGAGTGTGTGTAAATTTGTGTGATTGTGTTTCTATGAATGTGTGTGTGAGAGTATGCCTATGATGTATATGTATGCATATGTGTGCAAGTGATGCAATGTATGTAAATTTATGTGTTTGTGGGTATGACTATGTGTGTGCATGTATGTCTATGAATGTGTGTGTGAGTGTGTCTGTGAATATGTGTCTGTGAGTGTGTGTCAGGGAGGCAGTCTGCATGGCTACTTGTCCAGCGTGTCTCCTGAGGTCCACCAGCACCCTGGCTGCCCTGCTATTCATCTCACACCAGGCCACATGTGGTGCAAAGTTCTACCTGCAGACCTGGATGAGCCTGGGTTTCAATGTCAACCCTGATTTGTACAAGCTCTATGACCATACACAAGTCACTTAACCACTCTCCACTTCAGCTTCCTCAGCTGTAAAGTGCAGATCATATTATTGCACAGAATTTGTGAAAGGAAGAAGCAAGATCTATCCTGTGTGTGCATTACACAGTCACCCTTTACCCCCTACTGAAGTTTTTCTTTAAGGCTGTTCTGGGATAAGGGTGAGGGGCATGAGGCTGGCACTAGGTGGGCACAGGCAGGCACTAGAGAGGACAGCTGCTGTAGATCCCTGCTCTGACCCACTGACAGCAGCACATGGGGTTATGTGAGAGCACCAGGTATAGACGCTGGGCTGCAAACCCAGCCAGCCCACCAGCTGCCCCTCATGGCTCCTTCAGTCACAGCACAGAAGTGAAGGCAACAGACTGCTCATCCTCACTTAGCAAATGGCAAGGGACTGGGATGGAGGTACGTGTGGCAGTACAGGCTTGGAGAGTCACATGGAGGAGCCACTCTGAGCTCTTACCCTTGCATATAGCCCTTCTGTCCCTTATTCCCTTTCTCACAGTCTCCCAGCCTAAGCAAAGCACAAGCATGACAATCAGAGGTCTGGAGCGAGGTAGCACAGCCACACTGTGGGATATTTGCCCACGGAAATGAGTAAGATCTTCCAGGCTACCTAGAGAAATGAATGCATGCGTGTGTGCTGAACCCATAATGAGGCTGAGTATAAAGCACCCTGATGTGAAAAATCTTTCCTTTACATTCTCCCTCTGTCTTTCTCTCTCTTGCAATGGTATGTTTGCAACACAGTCTTCTCTATAAGTCAGCTGGACAGCCTCTTAACTACCTGCCTAGTGAGCAGCCCAGCACCAAGAAATAGTCATACATGGTTACTATGTTATTCACTCAGGTTTTATTGAGTTCAGGTTCACTCAAAGTAAAATATTAATATGTATTAATGTCACACCCAGCAATCAAAAGGAAATAATGAACCCAAGTCCCAGAGTCTCAGTCATCAGGTCCAGGAGACAGTACAGTGGGCAAGGGAGCCTTCAGCATCTTGCAAGGAAGAATCTCTGGAGCCAGGTGGGCATCAGGGCAAAAGAAGTCCTCAGTCCAGAGGGCAGAGCCTCTGGAAGCTGATGCCAAGGGAGATCAGCATGGCATGGAGCAGCACCCAGTGTGTGGAGCTCAGCTGCCTCAGCAGTGGTCTGGAGACTGCCTCACTTATACTTTTGAGAGTGGTGTACTACACCCTTCTGGGTCTCTTGATAAGGGTCTTGGCACTCCTGATGGCAAGTGGGGAATTTGCCCAGGAGCCTATCTATGGATGGCCCTGCTCTGCAGACAGGGCTTTCATGGTCATATGTGCAAATATCTTAGGTGTGTCTCTTTGCCCAGGGTATTTAGCGTGTCTCAGGTAGTTTCCTTCTTGAACCAAAATGTCATGGCTGATGGACAGCCATCTTGGTTGACATCGGTAACTCCATTTTGTTTTATATACTTCAATATCTTGACCAAACCAATGCCAGTGTATTGGTCTTGCTTTCCACACTCTCCCGCGAGCAGCGATTTAGAGCAGCAACAATTTCCTTATGCCTAGCTCACTGCCAGTCATCCTCCTGCCTTTTTGCCTATCTCCAAAAGGTCACTGACTTCATATTTGGCAGTCCTTCTTTTCGCCCTTGAATTAGCCTGATAAAAGACTTATTTTCTAATACCAAGCACAGAGATTAGAGCAGGTTCTTTTAGATGAACTTTTACACATATACACTTGTACTTACAAATATAATTAAACATAAGATAGCTTGAATGTCCACTTTAGCTCTTCCGAACACCCGGTGGAGAAAAACAGGTAAAGCTTTCAACCATGGAAGTGAGTTGAAAGTTTCTCACCATTCCAGTGGGCCATTTTCTTTTATTTTTTTAACCACCCCTTCAGATTCATGATCCTTAACCATCATAGGTTGAAGAGTCTAATTATTCTGAATGGAACCAGGTGTTTAGGGTTTAGAGTTGGTTAGAGTAGAGACTTTCCAGCAAAAGTAACACTGATTTTTTTAAATGTACACAACTGAGATTAAAGTACACCCTTAGATTTCACACATAATTTTAGCTTCCTCATTCTATTAAATTATAAGAAAATTGTGTCAGCCAGCTTTGTAGCAGGAATAAAACTCCAGGCCCCCAAAGGAGATTGTTATATATCATATGTATAGTATTTAACTCAACCAACATTAATTGGACATTTCCTGAGAAGCAGTAATTTATGTGTTAACAGTAACTTAGTTCAGCAGTTAGTGCAAGGTAATCATAACCTCTTCCAGCTGAGTTTAACCAGTTGTCCTAAACCCTTTTATTTCACTATCCGTATCAAACACTGCATTCATTAAACTAGCTCCTCACAACACGATACATATCCATCCATTCTTTCTGCTTACAATAAGAATGAACACATGATTTTCCCCATATTCCTTTCATATACCATCCTATTTTCATAAGGATCTTCTAAAAGAATTGGTATAGACTTCTCCAAAATATACCAAATTTTCCAGTCTATAAGGCATACTGGACCATAAGACGCACCTAGGTTTTAGAGGAGGGAAACAGGAAAAAAATTTTTGGCAGCAAAAAATGTGGCAAAATATTTAATAACATAAGTAACATAGGCTTCCCCCTCACAGCGAGCCAGGTCAGCTACATTCGGACTATAAGACGCACCCCCTTTTCCTCCCAAATTTGGGGCGTGTGTCTTATAGTCCAAAAATACAGCATGTCTGAGAGGCCCCATGCACTTCCTCAATGCCCACACAATCCATATTGTTTCTGGCCCCACACTGTCTGGGCCAGAAATAGAAGACATGCTTCCTTACCTCCTTTTGTATAGGACTGAATTGGCTGGGGAGGGAGTAAATGGCAGAGCTAAGAAAAGAGTGAATCCCAAGTCTACTGTCTTCCTTCGGAGAACAGCATCTGCCCACACATCCTCTACCTTTGCTAGATTTAGTGGAAGATAAGTGGTGAAAGCTCCTACTTATGCAGAAGTGTTGGGAGAGCCCCAACTCCACGGGATGTGTCCTCACCCCTCCTACACTTGGGTGTGCAGGCGAGTCAGCACTGATTTAAACCCCTTAGTTTAGCTGTCTGCTGCCTACATTTTTTAGGAAAGTGGCTCTGGAGTACAGGGGAGGATAGGCATG